CTACCAGCCCAGTCTGCATCTGAAAAGGCTGAGATCTCATAAGACGGCGCACGCTGGAGGAGCAAACCATGAGATGCAGTGAGACATATATAACGCAGAATACACTTCACAGCTGACCAATGGGATGTTGTGGGTGCATGGAGAAAGTGACAGACACGATTGACTGCATAAGAGACATCTGGCCTGGTGATAGTAAGATACTGCAGGCCTCCAACAAGACTGCGGTACTCAGTGGCATCATCAGGAGAGAGAGGATCTTCATCAAAAGCAGACAACCGATCAGTGGCAGACATAGGAGTAGTGGCAGGTTTACACTTCAGCATACCAGCACGACGCAACAAATCCAGAGCGTACTTCTTCTGAGTAAGAGTTACTCCAGCAGAAGACCGTGAAACCTCCAGACCAAGGAAGAAGTGCAGAGCACCGAGATCCTTGACAGCAAAATCACCACTCAACGCAGTCACAAGACGATCTGCCGCAACATCTGAGGAACTGATGAGAATAATATCATCAACATAGACCAGTAAATACATCGTAACCTCGGGGCGCTAAAGAAGAAACAGTGATGTGTCAGCAGTAGAGGGAATGAACCCAAGTGCTCGCAAAACCGAGCCAAGACGTGCATGCCAGGCATGGGGAGCCTGCTTAAGCCCATAGAGCGCCTTAAAAAGATGATAGAGATGATCAGGATGTGCAGGATCCACAAACCCTGGTGGCTGACGCATATAAACCTCCTCCTCCAGAACTCCATGCAAAAAAGTGTTCTGCACATCAAGCTGCCGGAGAAACCATCCTCGAGTAACAGCAAGGGACAGCAGCAGACGAATGGTAGTGGGCTTGATAACTGGACTAAACGTGTCTTCATAGTCAAGACCATACCTCTGTTTGAAGCCCTAGCCACTAGCCTTGCCTTGTAACGCTCGATGGAGCCATCAGCATGCCATTTAACTTTAAACACCCACTTAGAGTCAATGATATTGACCCCAGATACTGGAGGAACAAGCTGCCAGGTGTCGTTCTTCAGCAACGCTTGAAACTCCTGTTCCATCGTGGCACGCCAGTGGGGAATGCCTAGTGCAGCCTGAAAATGGCGAGGCTCAGCAGTGGGATCCTCAGCAGCATGAGCCATGCACGCGGCGAGCCACGCTACAGTCCCATCGGTCCGGATCTTAGGCTGAAAAACACCTGGCTGACTGCGTGTGCGATGTCGAGGAGCAACGGGTTGTGGTGGCGGCGCAGGGCTTGATGCAGGCGACGAAGGAGGCGACGCCGAGTCGCCAAGGCTCACGCCAGAGCCACTTGGCGTCGGAGAAGCGGGCGGTGTGGAGCCCGACAAGGCCAAGTCGCCCAGGCCCACGCCGGAGCCACTGGGCGCTGAAGGAGCGGGCGAGCCTGGGGTGGCCGGCCCATCAGGAGCCGAAGCCGGCCCATGCGAGCCTGGCGTGGCCGGCCCAGGAGAAACCTCCTGCGAGGCCGGCTCGGGCGACTCCCACGAGGCGGGCGAGGACGACACTCGCGGGGCGGCATTGGGTGAGGGCGATGCCCGCGAGGCAGCTGCGGGCGCAGCTCCCGCGGGTTGCTGGGTACCGCCCGATATGCATGCCCCATGCACACGATCATCCTCTGGACGCGAAGCATGCGCCGATGCCTGTTCCTCAAGAAGCTCAAGACGAGCGCCACGGCCAACACCTGCAGCATGGTTAGGGAGCAACACAGGAGCATGTGCAACATCCACAAATTGATCAGGCATAGGTGTGGTAGAAGAAACGTCTGGCATAAGAGTGATAGAGGTATTCGGAAGTGCATGAAAGGGAAACACATTCTCATCAAATACAACGTCACGAGAAATGTAAACACGATTGGTGGGAACATGTAGCCATTTGTACCCTTTGTGAAGGGAACTATACCCAAGAAAAACGCACTTTTTCAACCGAAACTCTAGCTTATGTTTATTATACGGACGCAAATGAGGCCAACATGCACACCCGAAGACTTTGAGAAATGTGTAGTCTGGGATTTCATTGAGCAAGAGTTCAAGTGGAGTTTTCATATTCAGTAGTCATAAGGGCAGCCTATTGATCAAAAAACAGGCAGTGGAGAAAGCATCACTCCAGAACCTAAAAGGTACGGAGGCATGAGCTAATAAGGTGATGCCAGTTTCTACAAGATGACGATGCTTACGTTCGGCAGTCCCATTCTGTTGATGTGTATGAGGGCAAGACACACGGTGTGCAGTCCCAAGTTTGTTAAAGAACGAGTTGAGGTTGTGATATTCACCCCCCAGTCGCTTTGGACATGAATAATTTTCTGGCGAAGGAGACACTCAACATGTGCTTGAAACTGTATAAACACATCAAACACATCAGATTTTTTCTTAATAAGATAGAGCCAGGTAAAGCGACTGTAAGCATCAGTGAAACTGACATAATAATTGTGGCCACTAACAGACGTTTGGGCATGACCCCATACATCGGAAAAAATAAGCTCAAGAGGATGTTTCACAACACGACTAGACTCTGAAAACGGGAGTTGGTGACTCTTGCCCTGCTGACAGGCATCACAAATAGTTTCAGCAGTTTTATTTGACACAACTGGTAGCTCATGACGATGCAACACATGACGGACTATGGGAGCGGCAGGAAGACCAAGTCGCGCGTGCCAATGTGTAGGTGAGACACGAACACCACTGAACGCCTGAGGAGAAAACTGCATGGGAGGTGCGGTTGGCGCGTCAAGTGCATACAAGCCACGGCGAAGACGACCGCTGAGCAGAACGGCCCTCGTGTCCGGATCCTTGATAAAGAAACGAAAAGGGTGAAATTCAGTAAGGACATTATTGTCATGAGTAAGTTGTGGAACAGACAACAAACTACGCGAAGCAGTGGGAATACGAAGAATGTTAGACAAATGCAGTTTTCGTGAATTGTGTGCAAGAAGGGATGCCTGACCAACATGGGAGATGCGCATACCTTCTCCGTTGGCGGTGTGCACCTGATCATGACCGCGATATGGCTCCTGGACTGAAAGCTTACCCATGTCGTTGGTGAGGTGGTTGGTAGCTCCCATGTCCATGTACCACGTGGGATCAATCGAGTAGGATGGAGTGCGCCCGTGCTCATGACCCACTACCGCAGCGGCCGCCTGTTTTTCATTCCCCTTGCCATTGTTGCCTAGGCCAAGGAAATCTTGCTTGTAGCGGCGATGACAGCGAGAAGCTACGTGGCGCTCAATCCCACACAGTTGGCATGCCTGCTGAGCGCCACAACTGGGGCAGCAAGCCACCGGCCGTGATCCGCCTGTGATGGATGGCGCGGTTCCCCGTGAGGGCTGAGATGGAGCCGCCGGCTTGGCAGGGAGCGACGGCTTCTGAGATTTGCCACGGGTCGCAGCGTTAGCAGAGGCAAAACTCGGAGTAGATCGACGCACTTTGATGCGCTGTTCGCGACCAAGGAGCCGCGCGTACAGTTCCCGCGGCGGGAGAGGCGCCTCGCGACCATGGACGTTCTCAATAAGAATATCATAGTCATCATCGAGGCCATTGAGCACATGAGTGGTGAAGTCCTCATCTCCAAGGGGCTGGCCAATGGAGGCCAGCGTATCGGCAAGACCTGACATCTTGTTGAAGTACTCCGTGATAGTGAGGCCACCAAGCTTGGTCTCCCCCAACTCGGTGCGGATAGAGTGAGCACGCGCCTGAGACTGAGAGGCAAAACTGTTGTGAAGCGCAGACCAAGCCTCCCGAGATGTCGCAGCGAAGATGACAAGCGACGACACGCTTGGAGTGAGCGAGGACTGAATGGCCGAAAGTATCGCCTGGTCTTGAGCCACCCAAACATGATGAGCCGGATGATACGGCGGCGGACACGGGATGGAGCCATCAACATAGCCCTCCAAGTAGCGACTCCGTAGGAGGGGTAGCACCTGCGCCCGCCAGGACAGGTAGTTGTCCGGTGTAAGCTTCACCGGAAGAAGATGCGAGAAGTAGAACGGCGATGGCGCCAGAGCATAACCCGCATGGAGACTCATGTTCTGCACATCAGCATGGGGAGCAAGGGCCAAGGACGCCTCGTAGCCAGGAGCGGCAGGGGCATCGGCCGGACCAGGCGGGGTCCCCGAGGACACGGCGGGCGCGGTACCGTAGGCCACTCCATAAGGCGACGACGCCATCTGTGATGACGGAGGCGTCGGCCAAGCGGAGGGCATCGGTGGCGCGGCGCCGTAGGTTGGTGCAGGGGCGCCGTACCACGGGGCGTGGGGCTGGGGCGCGCCATATGGATGATGGGCGCCGTAGGGCGGAGGGGCTCCGTAGGGTTGGGGGGGCCATCCCGTAGGCGGGTGGTGCAGGGCCGCGAAGAGGCGGCGGCGCGAAGGCGAGGGTCGAGGAAGTGGCGCCGGTAGCAGCGACCGGCGGTTGCGGATGGCCTGGCCCGCCCTGCTCCTGACCGCCCTGCAGATGGCCTTCGGCGGGCAGTGGCGGCTGCCGCCAGGCCGTGGCGAGCGGGGGGGGACGCGAGGAAGGGCGACGAAGGGGCGACCGGCGCGCCAGCAGTGGAGGAAGCCGAGGCGGCGGCGGGGTTGGCGGAGGCCATCGGGTGAGGCGGCGGCGACGATCGGCGGCGGCGCGAGGGGGTGCAGCGGAAGACACAAGAAACCCTAGTCTGATACCATGTTAAACCAGGATATTGGGGCAACTGCTCGACACCCTTGAGGGATGCGGCTATCTCATTATATATAATTATCAAAGGGTACAAGTACAAGGTGTATACACAAATCTACGTATAAACAAGCCTGCGTATACATATACAGTCTAACAGGCGGCTCGCCGCTCAACATGTGGCCCCTCGCCTCCAAGGCGCTGGCCGCCAACCCGACGTCGCTGCAGGCCGGCGTGCTGACCTACGGGAACAGGAGCTTCGCAAGCATGTTCTCGCTCCTGCCGTCCCCCAGGGTGTACGGCCGCACGCCCCTGGTGATCACGCGGGACAGGAACTACTCGGCCGAAGACATGGCAGAGTACCTCACGGCAGCAGGTTTCTCCGAGGACGAGGTGGCGCGGTACCGAACGAGGGCGCTGCCGGTGACGCTCAACCTCCGGGCGCCGCTCGTACCGATGACGGCCATGAATGGCATTGGCGTGCCCACCGTGGATAAGCTGGTGTTCTGGGACGGTAACTTCAGTGGGAAGCCTCAGTTGGTGAACGGCGATGGCGATGGCCAGATCAACTTGGAGACCGTCTTGGCGTTGCAAAGGTTGGTAGGGGCTGATCCGGACCAGCCTTACTTCAAGTCAATTTTGATCCCCAACACGACGCACAAGGGTATGATCTCGGACGAATCTGCGCTCAAGCGTGTCGTCAGTGAAATCCTTGGAGCCTCCTCTTGATAGGGGTCATTTATCATGGCAGCATACTCTGTTGGTTATATGACTTAAGCATAATGAAACATAAATTATCAAAGGAAGAAGTCCATTTTACTTCCTCAAATTCGTCATTTTTGCTTTTCATGTAAAAATATTTGACTTCAGATTTGGCAGGACGATGTGACAAAGTGAGCAAAATAATTGGTATTTTCTTTAATTACCATGTCCATTTTTTAAAATATTTGTTCTATTAAGCTACCATTATACACTATTCCATCCGTCCCAATAATAAATGGCTCAACTTTATATTAACCTTAGTGTAGTTAGAAGAAAGTTAAGTCACTTATTTTGGGATGGTGGGAGTATATATTAAACTGTGAAAATAGTCCTAAAATATAAATTGCAATTTTTAACGCAGAAAAAATAAGCGTATGGCAATGTGCCTTTTGATATTTGTGGAAATGGAAACAGGGAGCCGAACGGAGAAATGCCATTTTTTGTAAACAGGATGTCGAGCCTATGTCGGAGTGGGGCACGACTTCCCCTCATAGTTCACATGCGCGTATTAGACCTGTCCATATATAGGGGCGGACGAGAACATATCACGGTGCACCGAGCCAATTTGTGCACCCAATGCACCGGTACATTCAGGACCCTTGGATGAAAAATTAATGGGCCAGAGTTTGGTAAAAAAAAAGACTATACCTTTTCTGCAAAGACAACCTTGCACTTTCTACAAACTAACCGCACTCCACGGCACACACTCCCATCAAAAAAATCAGTATGTTTATTTTTCTGGCCCAAACATAATATGGTTCATATATTTTGAACCGAATGATTGAAATAAGATCCGTTTTGACTGTTATTTTTGTTTTGACAAGATATTCGAAATAAGATTGATATCCAATATGTTTCCAAAAGTTATTATTTGCTGTTTTTCTTAAGCTTGGCTTGAACTTGTGATGTATGAGACGGATGTGCATCCGGGACGCGCGTGTGAGAAACAAGCAAAACATGTATATGTTGCAATCAAGTTTTGAGTTAAATTTCAAAAAGTAAAAAAAATATTAATTTTTAAAAATATACTCAATATTGATTTTGATTTGAAAATCTCCTCAAAACAAAGATGTCAGTAAAAACATAGATTTATTTATAGCAGAGGGATATGTGTAGTGTGGTTTGATTTTGATAAATAAAAGGACTAGTCTGCAATGTTCCAACAATCCAACTACCTCATATCCTTCAGTTTTTTATCCAATGGCTCATATAGCATGGGTGCATTCGGTGTAGGAGTTGACTCGGTGCACCTGATACGTCACATCCTACAACATACATGGGCTGCTTTGGTTCTTGGACTTGGACCAGTCACCAAATTGTCCATCATTCTCCTCATCTCCTGTCGCCAAGTGGGGAAACCCTCATGAGGAGGGACGCGATGTGGGTCTTTTTTTTCTCGGAATCGTGTAATAGAGTTTTTCTTGGGCTATATTTTGGCATTGTGCATTAGAGTCCTGCGAAATTCAGGATAGTCTCAATCCCACCTGACTACCATTTGTACCGGTCCCATGGATCAATATCCAAGGAACACAACTTGAGCAGCGAACATGATGAAGTTTGATAGTTTCTCATAATAGGGCTACAGCATATTTTTCGTATTGTTTCTGGAGGCTCTTCTTCCTCTATATGTAAGACCTCCATGCAACAGATTGTCAAATGGGTAGCCTAGCTTAATACCCATTATGAGGACTGAAACCTAAGTGGGATCAACACACCCATGTCGGTTAGCCTCTCAAATTTAAAAGGTTGCATAACAGCAAAGGTAAGCCTAGATGCATATATACCCAGCAAAAAAAAGAGCCTAGATGCATATATGAAATATTTGAGTGTAGAGTGGTCCTACTATAAAGAACTGCAATACTTCTTTAGCCAATTATCATCTACGGAGTGCTATTTGACTTCTGTGTGGTTGGTCATGTTGAAGTATAAGTGAAGTGCCCATCTTTCCCCATCAAATTATGCTTTTGGAAAAACAAGTTTGTGAATAGTATCTCAATAGGTACTTGAATGAAAGAAATATTTTCTACCAAGCAAATGAAGATCATTAGTTAATCGCTTAGTTGAGATCCTGTCGCCTCTTGATGGTCATTCATTAATTGCTTCTCCCAAGTACATTCCTGTTCTACCGTTGCTTCTTAATGATACTCAGCATCAGTTTTAGATAACTCCATAGCAAGTTGCCATATGTTGCACCATAACATGGCTCCTGATCCAAGATAGAAGAAGTATTGGGTGTTGACTTCTCTGTGCGTAACACTACAAGCATAATTAGATATTAAGCGCAATACATGGATCCAATCGATATATTTTATGTCCAAGTATCTGATCCAAGATTACTAATTAGATATTAAGGATTATTACACAGTAGCGAGACGATAAGCTTCATTCTGACATCCAGTTGACTTACTCTATGCATGTGGAAGAGGCAAACAGATGAATACCATGAACAGATCTGGAAGATTGTAACTGATCCTTTTTAAAGGGCAGGAACTTTAACATAGGAAAGTATACAATTTCATTCAAATTCATGTTCACCACGTCAATCTCTTAGCCATTTGAACTATAATCACATCTACTTAATCTAAGGGTGTTAATAATTACTTCAGTCGGACTGAAAAGAAAAATATTATTAAGAAAAAAAAGGAGATATATGATTCTCGAACAACCATACAAGCTAAAGAACTCTATAGTAGCAAGGTGATAGTCGCCCTCGTAAAAGCATGGGCCAGCATTCTAATTAAGAAAATCTGAAATATTAATGTGTATAATTTCCATGGCATTCGTCATACAAAGATCGTGGGGCCGTTTGAATTGCAGCGGATAGGAAGCCCTGCAAGTTACATGCCCAAGCTGTGAGTTTGGATCGTAGCCTCGATTTGGATTGCCCTTGTTCCCATGTCCCAGTACGAACAGAGCTGGACCGACAGGGCCACGCCAGACCACGTTATGAATAAGATGTCTAATTAATCAACCGTTCTTTGGGGTTTGTGCATAATTTTAGAGAAAAGCCTGACTAGTGCCCTGTTCACGGACGGACGTCAGAGCAAATTTATGGACCAGCGTTGAAGATGCCTTTAAGCCTTTTCTTTTTTGAAAGCATGTCAATGGCGTACTTTATCTTTATAGGTGGAAGCAAATAAAATTACAAGACAACCCCATTCAATGCGAACAAGGAATGTGGCTCACCGACACCGTACAAATGTCAGTAAATCAACTTCTCACAAAGCGATCTAGTCCTCACAAAAGATGCCTATAAGATTCAAAAGTATCCATCCACTCATCATCTTCTCTTACAGTTTTATCCCACGTTTCATTGAACTTCTCTAACTCAGCTGACGATTGTCTTCTAACCTTTTGATTACCGGTCGGGGAGGTCAGTTGGATAAGGAGATTGAGGCAAGGAAGAAGACAATGAATGCAAATTCGTCTTTGCGGAATCAAGTTGAGGAGGCCGAATTGTGAAACTGGAAACAACAACTAATGACAAGAAAATTGTGGCTGCGCAAATAAATTTCCACTCCGTAATAAGTCATAGTACTTAAATACCATTCAAAAGAAATTCCGGTGAAATTAAAATGCATTACATGATTCCCAAAAATAAAATAAAAAATACGTTGTTCCATTTGATCCTGATTGAATGGTGACGATTCAGTGGCATGTGTCTCTGTGTGGTTCGCCAGCCTGCCCCATCCCCTTTGTTGAGTATATATTTTCTATTGCACGTGTATTGGAGTTGTAGTCCACCTCCTAGTCTTGTATAGTTGAGGTAGAGACCTTCCCTTGTAACATATATACGTGCACCAGCACCCTATCAATACATCATCATTGTATTGCAAATCCTCCTCTCTACATGGTATCAGAGCGGCGGCCGAAGAAGAGCGGCGGCGAGGTGCAAGCTTGTGTGACGTGGTGGACGCGGTGCTAGGATAACAGAGACACCCAAATATGCGAAGACCATCATAGGACGGTGGTGTACCGAAAAGAAGGTGGTGAGGGGCGTAGTTCCACCGAGGACGACACGGACGAATGTTGACTAAGAGAGAGGCGGTGGCGAGGGCATCGGGCCAGAACCGAGCAGGCACGTTAGCATGACAGAGCAATGTGCGAACGCAGTCATTAAGAGTGCGGAGAATGCGCTCGGCGCGGCCATTCTGCAGTGAAGTGTAGGGGCAAGTCAAACGGAAGTGGTGCCGTGAGAGGCGAGAAGTGAGCGAAGAGCGACGTTGTCAAACTCTTTTCCGTTATCAGTTTGGAGTGCAAGTATGGGGCGACCGAACTGAGTGGTAACATAGGAATAAAAGGTGATGAGTGTGGCTAAAGCATCGGATTTACGACAAAGAGGAAAAGCCCACACATAATGAGAATAATCAACTAAAATCACCAAATAGTATAGATAGCCCGTGTTACTTGCAACGGGAGACGTCCAAACATCACTATGAATCAACTGAAACGGAAAAGTGAAAACTGAAGTAGACGCACTAAAGGGAAGACGCACGTGCTTACCCAAACGACAAGCCTCACATGTATGCTCGTCGAGCTTATTACATGAGAAAGAAAAACTCCTAAGAATCTGACGCAAAACGGCGGGGTTGGGGTGGCCCAAGTGAGCATACCAAAAGTCGACGCCAGCGGAGAGAGCGACGGGTGTGGAAGTGGAGGCGCCGGCGTGCACGGGATAAAGCTCGTCAGGGCTATCACATCGGTGAAGCACCATCCGGGTACGGGCGTCCTTCACAGAAAAACCAACATCGTCAAATTCAACATTAAGAGGATTCTCACGAGTAAGACGACGAACAGAATTTGCTGATGTGATGACTAAGGGATTGCCTACTCTTGTCTTCGAGGAGTTTCGGTCCAGTCTCTTTGTCTCCAGCGACGCTTCGACAACGGGGAGTGTTGAGTATATATTTTGTATTGCACGTGTATTGAAGTTGTGGCCCACCTCCTAGTCTTGTATAGTTGAGGTA